GTATCAATTTGATTAATTATTATTAATTAAAATACCACTTATCATATTATACTTATATGATATAAAATGAGTAATATAAAAATAATTAAATGAGCTATATGTTAGTTTTTTAATTTTTTTAGATATATTAGTATAAAAAGAGTGAGATGAGTTTGTCATCATGAATTTTACAATAGTTTTGCTAAATATATTTAAGCATAAATTAAAACTAAAGTTCAAAACTTATAAAATTATAAAGTTTAATGAATAAGAAATAACATTAAAATACAAACAAAAATAATAATATCTATACACAAAAATCTTTTATATATATATATATATATATATATATATATATATTAGGGGCGAGACATGGAAGGAGATGCTTGCCTCGCATCGGGAGAGTTACCCCTCATATATATTTACATGGATATCTCTAAAACGAATAAAAACAATTAGATAGAAAAAGACAATATCAAGAAAGAGATGCTAAAAGCTTTATATTACAAATTTTATTTTTTATTAGTATATTTATATTTATATACAATTTGCTCTGACTATCAATTTATTTATTTTTTCAAAAAAAAAACATTGTTTATGGTGGTATCAACGCGCTAATATTAAGAGATAGAATCACATGATTTTCGAGAATGATGTAACGCCGAATGACTCTCCATATTGTTTTGCGGTAGAAATGATTTCAAAGGAGAAAATTAAAGCAAAGCATTTGACTAGGACCATTCTTTAGAAAATGAAACTTAATTTGAAAATAACACCTGTGGTTTATATAGAAACATATATCTTTTGAAACTTCTTAAAGGTAATTGTGGTGGAGTAGATTGATTGAAGTTGCCATATATATTATTACAGGATATATATCAAGATGCAATATTTCAATGAAAACTAAAGCAACTTTTTTAACTCTTAATTGAGTTTAGGGTAATGAATATTTTAAAATTAATATCCAAACATGTGACAGATGATAATTTTATTATTCAAATTATACTTAAAATTTATTGAAAAGTATTTTAATTTTATTTAATTGAATCAAATAATACAAATTATCTAATGTATGGGACAAACTTCCATGTCTGTGTTTTTTTTTTTAAAAAAAATTAGCCATATGTATTAACTGTTAAGCATGATGCAAAGGGCAACTTTGGGGATTTGGATAGTTCATTTTCCTAAGCTATCTTCTTTCATTTATTTCTCTTGACTCGTATATATATATATATATACCATTATTTATTATTTTTATCTTCATATATTTCTTGAGATTCTCGTCTTTAGACGATAAAATTAAGACTAACACCATATTTAATTACATAATTCAAAACGTTACTGCCAACAATATTTATTTTTTTTAGCTTTTGTTTAAAGCGCACACCCCAACAACCATACCTTGCCTCGTATTGTTGTAATTGCACGCTTTACACGCGCCTTACAAAACGCGTGGGTTTAATTCTAAAATCTAATAGTAGCAGGACGAAACGATCTTTTTGGTAATTCACGTGACGGAAAAATAATAAAATATAAGCAGGCATTGCGCAAGCCGAAGTAACAAAGATGAAAGATCAGAAAACATTTTCATTTTCCTTCAGCAAATAGTGAGAGTTTATGTTTGTATGAATCACTGAATTCACATGCACATTTGCACATGCCAATCAGAAATTAAATGAATTTACATTCTTATAATTAAATCAACTTGTATATAAGAAAATTGAATTAGTGGTTTGTAGCCTTCCTTTGCTTGGTTGCAAGTAAAAAATGAGCCAGAGATATCACTTGCTAATTAAGAGAATCAAAAATTAACTCTCTTCTGATCCAGCACTTTCAAATGGGAAAGCCACCAGATAAATGATTCTTAAATATTGGTTTGTAGTCTAATTCTGTCTCATAAGATTGAAAATTTTTTTCACTTCTTTCTTATGTTATTTGGAAATGAAAAACCCTTTTCTCAATATAAAATATTTTACAAGTTAATAGAAAAAAATACGTTTAATAACGTAAAATGTCTTAATTCTCGAACAAAACGTAAAACATTTTTCATTTGTCTTCTCTTTTCTTTTAAAATCAATCTCATGTAAGTTGATAATTTTTTCTCTGTTTTATTTTTTATTCATCTTTTCTTATTATCTTAAAACTATATATTTTTAATATTAATTACTTATATATTTTTATATTTTTTACTTTTTGATATTAAAAAAGATAATGCATTGATTTTATAAAAAAAGATCTAAAAATTTAATTGAATAAGGATAAAGACTTTGAGATAGAGATAGAGAGAGAGAGAATAACCTTTTTTCCCTTAAACATTTAATTATTTTGAGCTTAAAAAATGCATTATAAAATTACATGTACAGATTTGCAAAGGCACATGAAACTCCCTACATCCCAATTAAAAGAAATGAATTTTACTAAAAATTGTTAGTATAAGAAAATAAGTCCTTGACTTTGTAGTTTTTCCACTGTTTGATTAGGTATAAAACATTGGTCTAACATCCTTAGATATCAAAAGGAATCAGAGCTTATTTATCTTATGACCCTGAATTAATAAATAAAACAGGCAGCCACCAGCCATATGATTAGTAAAATAATGATAAAACAGGCTTTGATTGTTGGTTCTGAATATAATTTTGAGTAGTTAATAGTTTGACAGTGTAAGTTCTTTCTTTCAACAGCAAATTTGTTTTAATATTATTATCACAGGTGCATTGGAAAAGTTTCACCATTTTCTTAACTTCTATATTTGTAAATGGCCATTTACATTTCCAATTATTTTTATAAATATTGGAACCAAAAGGATTGAGTTAAAAAACATATGGTTTGATTCAAAGTTACACAAATTTTTTACAATCCTAATTTCATTGCTATGTCTAGACAAATCGAGAGTAAAAGTTTAAATTTTACGATGAATTGAATCATTTTAACGTTCGAATTATTTCAAATTTTAATTATTTTGAATTTAAATAATTTTAGATTCCAATCATTCGAGTTATTTAGTTTTGGGTTTTAACATATGTTAAATTGTATATTTAATTTTAAGTAACCAAAACAAAAGATGGAATCTTTAGAAGTTGAGATTTCCCTCTCAGATAATCTGTTAATATCAGTTTTTTAATTTAATAAAGAAAAGATTTTAGATATAAATAAATAAAAAAAATTGCTGGCTTTTGTCAAGCAAAGTTTGGCAAATGTGACAAATGACAACAGCTTTTAAAAGCGCGTGAATTTGCAGGAAAAACAGTGTTTTGAAAGTTGAAACCTGAAACCCCCCCAGAAATTAAACGAGCCAACCCGGAGCCAACCGGGCCGAACCAACGAACGAGTCTTTCTTTCATTTCTCCTTCTCTCTTTCCCTTTGGCGTA